TGTGGAGAGATCACCATAGAAGGCTTGGAGTGCCATCCACATGTCATGAGCATTCTCCAAATCCCACACACGTTTAAAAACTTCATCATGTAAAGCACTCATTAGATAATAAAGAGCATGATGATCAAGTTGTAAGCAATCCTCTTATGCTTGGGTTAGGTTGTCCATATCCAAAGCATTACGAGAAAAACCAACAATAATGATCCACCATGCCTTGGGACCCAATTCACGGAAATGATCAAGCATATGTCGTTTCCACCGTGCATAGTGAGTGCCATCAAAAATGTGTGTATCACAAACAACTTCTAGCCCAAAGTTCGCCATCCTCTTGGATCAGTAAAGACCACAAATGAGAGACCGGGCTCTGATACCAATTGAAGGGTCGAGATGGCGGACTTGAGGGGGGGGGGTGAATAGTCCTTTCTAAAATTAATCGGGTCGGCTAACCGATATAAATGCGGAAATAAAACAATCGGTCTAGCCAAGACTATACCCCTCTATATATGTTCACTAGCACCTTGCAAAGATAACAATTGTGCAACAAAGGTGCCAGGCTAGCTAGAGCTCTCCTAATCAATTCTAGGAGCAAGGTCACACAAACCTATGCCACTAATACTTCAAGCAAAGCGAGAGCTCCTGCACATGCTAGTAAGCAAAAGCACAAAGCTAACTACGCTCACTAGCAATGCTCAATAACAAGGCAACCAATGCCTAATTAGAGAGCGCAAATACTTAGCTACACAAACTAAGCAATGTGACTAACAAGGTTACTAAAACCAAATTAGTCACGCAAGGGAGCTACTTCTATGCTACACAAGCAAGAAGGTAATTAGCAAGCTACACAAGCTATCTAATTACAGGAGTAACTACACAAGCTTAATATATATAAAAGTAAATGCAAGCTTGTGTAATGGGGATGCAAACCAACGGGAAGAAAGGTTGACACGATGATTTTTCTCCCGAGGTTCACGTGTTTGCCAACACGCTAGTCCCCGTTGTGTCGACCGCTCACTTGGTGGTTCGGCGGCTAATTAGCATCACCCGCTAAGCCCACACGTTGGGCGCCGCAAGAACCTACCCCTTAGTGAGGGTAGCTCAATGACACGCTTTTACTAGAGTTGCTCTTCGCGGCTCCCGCGGGGCGAGCACAAGTACCCCTCAGAAGCTCTTCTCCGGAGCCCCGCACAAGCTTCTTGCGGGCTTCGACGGAGACCACCACCAAGCCATCTAGGAGGTGGCAACCTCCAAGAGTAACAAGCACCACCGGCTTGCAACACGACCACCTAGTGCCACTCGATGCAACCTCACGATGCAATCGCACTAGAATCGCTCTCTCACACTATCGGATGATCACTATCATGTGTGTGTGAGATGGAGGGCTCCAAGCACTACTACACAAGCCACCAAGACTATAGTGTGCTCAGCTTACGGCCCAAGGCCGACCATGGCCTCTATTTATAACCCCACGGGCAAATAGAGCCGTTACCCCTTCACTGGGCAAAACTCGGGACGACCGGACGCTCCGGTCTGATCGACCAGACGCTGGACCTCAGCGTTCGGTCACGCGATACTCGCCACGAGTCCCCTCCGTTCAACGGTCATTTTTCGATCCCAACGGTCATATGTTGACCGGACGCAGCACTTCAACTGACCGGACGCTGGACCCTCAGCGTCCGGTCGTTTCCAGTAAGCTCCTGAGCATGACCGGACGCGTTCGGTTGAACGCGATCGGACGCAGCCCAGCGTCCGGTCACTCTCCAGCTTCTGCTCCCCCGATCAACGACCTGACCGGACGCAACCCCAGTGTCCGGTCGCTTCCCAGCGCCAGCGTCCGGTCAACTGACCGAAGCTGCTTGCTGACTGCCAGCACTGACCGGACGCTGAGACTCAGCGTCCGGTCACTACGTGACCAGAGTCCGGTCCACTCTGTGAGACCCTATCTTTTTAGTCTAGGGTGCCGGTGGAGTACGAACCTTTCTCGCCTCCATTCCATCGCCGAGTTGATCCACATCAACTCCAACTTCATCTCCTTTGTAAATGTGCCAACACCACCAAGTGTACATCACCATGTGCATGTGTGTTAGCTTTTCACAATCATTTCCCAAAGGATTAGCCACTCAACTTGCCACGCCACTCAATCCTAGCGACGATGCAAAGTTAGATCACTCGAGTGGCACTAGATGACCGATATGCAAACAAGTTTGCCCCTCTTGATAGTACGGCCATCTATCCTAAACCCGGTCATAAACTTCTCTACACACCTATGACCGGTGAAATGAAATGCCCTAGGTTATACCTTTGCCTTGCGCATTCCATTCCATCTCCTTCGATGTTGATGCAACACATGCACCAACATGATCAACAATGATATGATCCACTTCATATCATCACGTGATCATATTGGTTCATCAATCTTGACCTTACATGCTTTTCACCATCGCCATCGTCCATCGGCGCCAAGTCTTGCTCAAGCTTCACCGCCACGTGGTCCATCACTCCAAAGCCTTCGACTTGCCCTTCACGCTTGCAACCGGTCCATCAAGCCAAGTCTTGTCTTGATCTTCTCCACCTTGATCACATGACTCAATGTCATGTCTCATGTGCAATAAGCTCCTTCATCATCACATGTGTGAGCTTTGCAACATCTCCAATCCATCTTCACCTTCATGGCATATGTTGCTCACACACATGTACCTATGGACTAATCACCTGTGTATCTCACATAAACACAATTAGTCCACCTAAGTTGTCACTCAATTACCAAAACCAAACAAGGACCTTTCACCCGTCAAGGAGGGGGCTACCATAGTTCCCCACTAGGTAGGCCGTGGTCACCAGCGATGTCGTGTTTCAGGTGTTCAGACGTACGTTTTCAAGTGTTTTTATCTGGATGTTGCCTATGTTGCAATAGCTATATACGCATATTGCAAGCGTATGTTTCAAATGTTTAAGGCGTTTTAGACTTATGTTGCAAATATTTTATCTAGATGTTTCAGTAGATCTTAGTGCTACACATGTTACAATGGCTATACACACATGTTCCAAGCGCATGTTTCCAGTGTTTCATCTATTTTTAGACGTATGTTGTAAATGTTTCGTTTGGATGTTTTAAAAGTAGATCTGGTGTTGCACGTGTTGCTATGTTTATACATGCATGTTTCAAGCGCATATTTCAAGTGTTTCATCTATTTCAGAGTTTCATTTGGATGTTTCAAAAGTAGATCTCAGGGAAGTACATGTTGCTGCTAGTGCGCCACCGTGGGTCACCATGCCGCCATAGGTCACCGCGCTCCTATTGGTGCTACTGCTGCGTGTGAAACAAAGCGGGCTCAAGGTGGTCCTCACGCATGCGTGGGCCTGCGTGGCCTCCGGAGCAGGATGGGTGCGGGGGCTAGGGAGCTGAGTATGTCAAGTGCGGGCGCGGGAGCACCGTCCGATGCTAGCGCCCCGGATCGGACATTCGGGCGCTAGCAAGTCCGAAAGCACTATCGCTAGGTTAATGTTATCCGATTGCCCTAATAACACAAATTCGAGTCGCTAGATTTATGGCCTTTTTGGATAAGTTGGCATTAGTTATTAGGTGAGATTAAAAATACATTGAGTTAGTTGTTGTTGATTATTTACTTGGGTAATAACTAGTTAGAGGCTTAGAGCATCTCCAAGAGTACCCTATTTTTTCTTACTAAAAACATGATGTTTTTCAACTCCTAAAAAATTATTGGGAGGAATAAAGATGATCATCTCCAATAGTTTCTAATATTCCACTTCTAAAAAAAATCAAAAGGTCGGTCCCAGGAATTGTGATGTTTTGCATCAGGAATCCTAAATTTGTTTCTATATCCATTTAAGCCCTCCCATCAGATCTTTCTCTCTTGCGATTTTCTCACCTGGAACCCTGTATTTCCTCCTTTTCCTTTCCCATGTGGAGACCACGGTAGAAAATGACGGCGCAAAAAGGAGCGTGCGACGGGGAGGGCGGATACGCACGACGGGCCATCCGCGTATCATTACGCGCATCAGCCCTTTTTTTTGTCAAGTGCTAAAAGATTAGGAGGTCATTTTAGGAGTTGTTGGAGATGGATTTTTTCCATTCTTCCTAAAAAAAACAAGGATTGGGAAGGATTATTTGGTACTCTTGGAGATGCTCTTAGATAAAAGATTATGTCACTTATTAGCCTCTTTTTGGATAAGGCTAGAGCTAAAAACTAGCTAGCTAACAGTTAGCCCTATATATACAAACAAATTATAAATCATTTTGGTATCTAGAAAAGGCAATCGATTTACAATTTAGAATAGACACAATACAAGGTATCGACAAACTGATTTCAACTTTTCAACACTGACACGCACAGTAAGAAATTAACTTATTAGCCTCTTTCTAGCACCTTTTCCGCTTCATGTTTCTTTCCCTAGTGGAGGCTTTTACTTGCTACGTTTGTTTCATTTCTGATATTTTTGTTCTGAAAGAAGTGAAAAATAGGTAAATCATTGGATAAGAAATATTTGGTTTGCATAATAAGTGTTCTCAAAGCTTATTTTCATTGGAATTCAACCAAAAGGGGACATTTTAAAGGCAAAATGAAGTTGAATATAGCATGCCGTAATAATAACAAAATGCTCCGAAATTAACTTCCGTTCCATTGAAGTGAACTCAATTCGTAGTTTGTAAGCTTTTGCATTTCGTCAGTAGAATCCCTTAGGACTACGCGAAGTATAAGATGGAAGTTACATGGACATTGGGCCCATGTATCCCTGCAGTTCAGAAACTGCAAGGCAATTCATTCACCATTTCGCATGGCCACGCAGCAGGCTCATGTCGATATACAAGTATACAACATCAGGTACGGCAACGTGCTTCACCATGGATTTTTTTCTCTCATCTACGTACTCAGCGTTCCAATGAACAAAAAATTTGAACTCTGGAATAATAAAAAATTCCTGACAGAAACGCGTGTGCCCATTGACTTGTCAGATTGACCCGCGTGGTACCCACCTTCACCATGGCCGCGACGCGTCCAAGAAGCGCGTTTCCTCCCCGCCAGTTAGCATATAGATACTCACGATTCATCCAGTCTCTCCCAGTCGTTCTGCTGCTCTGCATCCTCCGGCTGTTCCCTTCCAGGTCAGTCTTCTTGTCCTCACTGTTCTTCACATGAATTTTGCAAGGCTTTGTGCTTGTTTTCGCTTGCCATCGCAGCGCACTGTTATCCTTAATTCATCGCATCTGTGATAGCATTTGTATGCTCCCGCACATTTGAAAGCTTGTTCCATTGGACCTGCATTCTGATTTGAACAAAACTTAGTACTGAATCATTTGTCATATCTAATTCGAGGGGGAAAAAATAAACCCGAAAGCCCCTACAGAAACTGTGCTGACGCCTGATAGATGCATTATGAACACTGAAATGAAAGTTTCAGCATAACCTGGACCAGTCTGAATCTTTCGGGGATACAACCATTCTTGGTTGATGTGGACTGCACACAATGGACGAACAGGTTTAGTTATGAAAACAGATGGATACACATACACCCCAACTTTTTAAACTTTTCAAACGAGCAAAAATAATGCGAGTTTAGATTAATTCCGGTTGAGGGGTATGCCAGTGGAAGCTTAGGATGCAATAGTTCATATCTGAAACAAATACTATATACAACACATCGAAACACCAGGATATTTTCTAACTAATGTTTTTCTAATTTTTTAGCTTATTCTTTCTTGCATAAGTTGTTTAAGGACTGTGCCATATTTCCATGAATTAGATGTTCTAACCATCCATACCTTGTGCTGTGTCTTGCTGTCGCTCAGATCACAACCTTCTAAATCGTCAGAGATGACTACTAACAGCACATCTAGTCTTCTAAGCACATTGCCCAAGGATATACCAGCAAGCTTCCTGAAGCAAATCACAAAAGATTTCTCTCCTGAGCTAGAACTTGGTAAAGGTGCATTTGGAACAGTCTACCAGGTATGATCATATATACGCCTTAAATTTGTTCCTGCCTTCTGAAGTTGACTGAACACATGTCAGAATGCCAATATACATAATATATGATACTTGACATAGGGAATTGCGGAGAATGGGGAAATGATTGCTGTGAAGAAACTTGGGGAAAATTGTCCTGTGGCGGACAAAACATTCAGTAATGAGGTCTGTAATCTTATGGCAGCCCAACATGAAAATATTGTGAAGTTGGTGGGCTACTGTCATGAATCACAGAAGAAGGTGGTGCAGCACAATGGAAGATATATCATTGTAGATATAGCTGAAATTTTTCTCTGCTATGAATATCTACCTAAGGGAAGCCTTGACAATTATCTATTTGGTATGTACATGTACTACAATATTCGACAGCATTCGCCACTATTTAATTCCTTTATTGCATCCTATTGAGTTTTCAGTTGCTACTTTGAGATAAATGAGTAATTAAAATTCATATTATAAACCAAAAAATTCAAAAAGAGTTATTAGTACAATAAGATTTTTGTTTCTGGTAAAGATTACTTACATATCTCTGTGTTCTACTTCTTCAGCCGAATTTAATAGAATCGACTGGGACACACGATTCAGAATAGTTCAAGGAATCTGCAATGGTTTACATTTCCTACATAAGGAAATGGATCAGCCTGTCGTTCACATGGATCTTAAGCCTGAAAATATTTTGTTGGGTGATAATATGGTCCCCAAAATTGCTGATTTTGGACTTTCAAGACTCTTTGGTCAAGAGCAAACCCGAATGAACACTCAAAATGTTGTGGGATCATTGTAAGTAAAAAAAATGTGAAATGACTATTTTCCTTTATTACTAGATTCATTTTTTTTTAAAAAAAATCACAGTAAATAAGTTTTAATGAACTCTGTTCAGAGGATATATGGCTCCAGAATATCTATACAGAGGTGAAATCTCTACCCAGTCAGACATATATAGTTTGGGTCTACTAATCATTCAGATAAGCACCGGAGAAAAGAATACTCCTAACGCTGAAGACAAGTGTGGACGAAAATTTATTGAGAAAGTAAGATCATGTTATTTGGTATTTTCATGATTTCAATTTTTTCAAATAGACTAGATTAGATTTAGTTTGCATATATGATATAACAGGAGGAACATCGAAACCTGTAGGTACAAAAAAGTTGGACAGATGGCCACATATCATCCAAGTACACATCATTTGATCCAGATCGCCTCCAGCAAATTAAAATGTGTGTTGAAATTGGGTTACAATGTGTGGAACATGAACGCAAGATGAGACCTTCCATAGCGGATATTGTTGAAAAGCTTAATGCAATGCAGGAATGAGGTATGAACACTAGAACAGTGAATCCCTTTGGTCAGTTTCTTGCACAAATGCTACCCACTTTTGACAAACCTAAGGCCAAAATGGTTTGCAGTTATGCACAGGCCCTGTTATTCTGAATAGAACTTGCTGATCAGTTTACTTATGTCAAGGGCCTGGGCGTCTAGGGTTGGAGGCCCTTGGCTTCTCAGTTCGTAGCTTGAACCAGGTAATGGAGGTGCCAGGTTTTTTGCCTGGCTACCACAGCAGGGGTGAGATTAAGAATAGCAGAGAGAGATTAGGAGATAACTTCTTTCTTGCCTTCTTCCTTCAACCGGTACAGGATACATATAGGAGCTCTGCTCCATTGCTACTTGTGCCAGCCATTAACTACTAGCTGGCTAATTAATTCCTTACTCTTCAACTACTACTTAATTGTCTTAGACTGCAGCCCCTCCAGCCGCCTAAACCTCCTGGGGTTCTGCCAGGCCATGCGTCCCCTTGAGGACTGCCCCGGCTGCACCTCGTGTCCGAGGCCGACGGCTGTACTGTTGGCCCCACATGACAACTTACTTGTAATAATTGGAAACTTATGGGATGCTTTGGCCTAAGGACATTATAACTTAAACTACACATGTTACAAAGAGACCATAGTTTGCATTATCAATTGTTTAAGTAATCTAAGTTCCATGTATATGTTTACAAAGGATTGGGGTTTTCCTTTCATTTGTTTAGTTAAAAAGTTACAATCAAGATATGTGCATCAGCTACTCCTATTTTCTTGCCTTCTATTCATAATTTGGACTATGTTTTCTGCTCCAAAAAGCCAGCACATACAACATCATATGGTTCATGCTACATTCTGCCAATGCTAACATATCCTTTGGAATTTTTAGGCCTCTCAGTCCCAGCGAGTTTCAAACATATTGGCCTCCAGAGGATGACAGATCGATATCCAAGATGGATAAAGCATGTTTATTATTCGTAGACAGCCCAAAATTCCTTTTGGAATAAGATCCTTTCTTTTATCATCTCAGATATGGAAACTATCACATTATATTCCTTCCATCAACACCAGAACTGCTGCTCCAAATATCTTTTCATTGTAATCATTATGCAAAGAAGTATTTAAATTAAGGGATGGTACCCAACAACTCCTTTAAAATTCCTATTGAATGAGCTACTCCTGAATTTTGGAGGAATGTAAACAGACCTAATGGTTTTTTTCATATATGTGTGTGTTATCCATATGTTCAATGTGTTGCCTCGAAACATTACTATTCATACTTAGACGTGATCTATGCCTTATAGAGAACCAAGTGTATCTTGGGTAGTTAGAAGAATCGATGGTTCATACTTGAGCTTATTCTTCTATAAACATAAACGGATGCTTCAGACTCCAACTTACTATAGAAGTATAGAGTCATACATACTTTCTAGTTCATTTTAGAGAATTAATTATAACTCTCCTTTATCTTTATCCATTACTAGGTTTGAACCCATTACGCTGCACACATCTGTTTATCTAGATTATAACATGCACATGCTATACCATGGATAAGTATATGGAAAAACTTAAGATTCTTAGTATGATGTCTACCAAGAACCTCTGCAATAAAATCGAAACACCCATTGTGATTTTGTGGCCATCTCAATTCATCAGGATCAAAATATAAAATGAGTCATGAGACATGGGTAGATGTTGCGGTGTATATTCAAAATAATTTAAATCAGAATTTAGCAAACTAGAGAACAATACACTTTTTTATGCCAAGATTTTTTCCCAAAAAAACATATCCTACCAATGACGTTCATCTCAAACGAAAGAAAACAGAGGACCGAATATAATAACATTATAACAAGGAGGTAAGAAATGCCCACCATTGAACAATCAGATAACCAAACGATGAAATTAGCTTTGCAAGTTGCATCCTTGTGGCATGGCGATTGGTGAATCCCAATTCGCAATCGGTCATCAGACCTTGAGCAGGATACATCTGAGGACTATGAAGCCAAGATATGACAGAAAAGAAGATTAGAGGCTTAGAGCCATGTATTTTTATTCGGCACTGCAGTGCAGCAATTCGTCAAGCAGGTCGTGTGCTCAGGGACCGACCTCTGACGCGTGGCCTTAAGTGGTTGAGGACCGGCGGAGGCGGATCGAGCGGAGTATGAGTCCGTCCAATGCGTCGGAGAGTAGAGATGTAAAGAGACCGTGGTGTCGGCGAGGTCGCCGCGACTGGTCCCTGCCGGCGTGCTCAGGAATGTGGGGCCGTCGGGCTGACGCAGTAGAAAAAAATTCCATTTCAATAGAAAGCTGATGAGGCTTTTACCCGTGTGCCGTTAAAAAAGTATACACACAAGCCATTAAAAAAGTTTAGCTCCCACGAGTACCATCTTTCTAAACTTCTTTGTTCTCCAAGCCATTCCGTCCGCTTTTCTATTTAACGGTGTCAAACAGACAGGTGAAATGACCATTTTATCCAGCCACCCAAATTTTCTCTTTCTCTCTCTTTCTCTTGCGCCTCCATTCCGTGCCCTGCTCGTCGTCGCGGCGCGGGCGGGGGCCGACGACCTCGCGAGCTCCTGGCGTTCCGTGACACCGTGGGGCGGCGCCTGGCGTGGAACGCCTCGGATGCCGTGGTGCGGCGCCTGGTGTGGAACACCTCGGACGCCGCGGGCGCGTGCTCGTGGACGGGGTTCTCATGCGAGAACGGCCGCGTGGCTGTGCTGCGGCTCCTCGGGGCGACGCTCTCGAGGGCGGTCTCCTCGGGGACGCTAGGGAACTTGACAGCCAGGCACCACAGGTAGCAAGCAAGAGGATCCAGTCTAGCCAGGCATCTGGGCCTGCACATTGCTCCCAAATTGCATCAGTTGCCGAGGACGAACATCTCGGCAAAGCCAACAGGAGTAGCAAGCAAGCAAGCGCATGATGCGAGCTGACGGTTGCGCGGTGCAGCAGGCACTTGCAGCGGAGGCGGCGGCCAAGGTCAACATCGAGGAGCTCATCATCTCCATCCTCGACGACCCCAGCGTCAGCCGCGTCATGCACGAGGCTGGCTTCTCCAGCTCCCAGGTCAAGACCAAGTCGAGAAGGCCGTCTCGTCATCGTCATCGGAGCATCAACCGAACACGACGATACCATCCAGCGGCCACGCGACGAGCTCTCCTGCACCAGGTTCCGGTCACCCAAGCAGCAGGCGCCCCAACAAGTCCGACGACGACGCCATGCGCGTGCTCGACTACATGGTGAGCGGGACCAAGCGGTGTGTGGTGGTCGTCGGCGAGAGCGCAGGATGCGAGCCGACAGTTGCGCGGTGCAGCAGGCACTGGCAGCGGAGGCGGCGGCCAAGGTCGACATCGAGGAGCTCATCATCTCCATCCTCGACGACCCCAGCGTCAGCCGCGTCATGCGCGAGGCTGGCTTCTCCAGCTCCCAGGTCAAGGCCAAGTCGAGAAGGCCGTCTCGTCGTCGTCACCGGAGCATCAACCGAACACGATGATACTGTAAGGAAAATGGACCCTTCACCCATTTACTTTGGATTTTGGTGTTTGATGACCAACACAACCAAATTGGACTAATGAATTTGCAAGTGTTTATTTTGTAGTTCAATAGGATGCAAGACGTGACTTGGACAAAGGCTACGTGATGATCCGATGATCAACACCTCAAGAAAGACATTAGAAGCACAAGAGAAGACCCAAGAGATCAAGCAAAGTCCAAGCATGAAGATTGGAACCAAGCCATCCGCAAGATCGCGAAGAAACGGAGTCACAGAAGGGACCGGACGCTGCGACCGGACGCAGAGACGCAGCGTCCGATCGATTACAGTAAGGTTCCAGAGCGGCATATCTGCGACCGGACGCGTCCGGTGGCAGGCGATCAGACGCTGCCAGCGTCCGATCAGTATATTGCCGGCTCAACGGTCGGGACGACCGGACGCGTCTGGTCAGGACGATTCAGCGTCCGGTCAGTAGCAGTTTCGCGGGATTTTGTCCCCAACGGCTACTTTCTTAGTGGGGCTTATAAATACAACCCCCAACTGGCCATTTGAGAAGTGTGGAGCTGAGAAAACATATCAAGGGTGTTGTTACACCATTTTAGTGATCTCCACATGCATAGTGCTTAGTGATTCATCAGGTGATTAGCATAGGTGCTTTGCGAAGTGCTTAGGTTGATTAGAGCACCGCTTATGCACTTGCTCTAGGTGTTTGCCTAGTGTTTAGTGAGGTTAGCATACCTCTTGCCACCCTGTGCTTGCGAGCACAAGTGTTGTACATCGGAGGGGCTTGAAGTCTTGCGAGATCGCACCAACCGCGTTTGTGGTGTGGCCGCCACCGTGTACCGAAGGGAACAAGGCCCGCGGCGTTTCGGCCGAAAGCTTGATAGTGAAGACGGCGGGGAGCATCCGGGAGAGGCTTGCCGGAAGGCACATCAGAGACCCACTTGCGCGTGGGGAAGGGCCGAGGCTATCCACGGAGTTACCCGACCGGGAGCTTGGCCCTTGCGAGGGATTCCTTGTGAGGGGCTCCAACGAGGACTAGGGGGAAGCTTACGCGCTTCTCGATACCTCGGTAAAAATACCGGAGTCGTCGACGGGAGTTTGCATATCTCTACCTTGCTCTTTAAGCTTCCGCATTTACATTGATCATTTTATTATCATTGCGGTAGAGATAGCAAACATACTAGCAAAACTATAGTTGCACATTTATATAAGTTATCTTTTGCATAGGTTTTGCTAGAGATAGAAAAAGAGGCCATAGTTTAAGGATTAGATTTTAAGTTGCCTAATTCACCCCCCCTCTTAGGCATCACGGTCCCTTCAATTGATATCAGAGCCGGTTGGCTCATATTTGGACCTTTGGCTTAACCGCCGTTGAGCCGACGCTACTTAGAGTGGTTGGGATGGATACCGCTAGGCCTCCACAATTTGACGGCACTAACTTCCTCTATTATAAGGCTAGAATGGCTTGCCATCTTGAGGCGGTTGATTTAGGTGTATGGAGAGTCACTCGTGACGGGATGAAACCCATTAAGAATCCCGAAAAACCCACGAAGAGTGATGAAAAAGAAATGCATTTTAATGCAAGAGCTAAAAATTGCTTGTTTGAATCTTTTAGCATGGATGTTTTTAACCAAGTATTCACTTTAAATACGGCACATGAAATTTGGTTAAAACTCCAAGAGCTCTATGACGGCACAAGTAATGTCCGTGAGCAAAAATATTGTCTAGCTAAACAAAATTATGATTCCTTTGCAATGAATGATGATGAGCTTGTTCGTGATATGTATTCTCGTTTGAATCTAATTATCAATGAGCTCCATTCAATAGGATTATTAAAGCTAGATGATGCGGACATCGTGAGGAAGATCACCTCCTTGCTACCACAAAAGAGATATTCAAGCATCATCACCATCCTTCACAATATGGAGGACTTGAGCACCATAACCCCGGGCATTGTCATTGGCAAGATAGTGGCATTTGAAATGTCACGAAAGATGAGTCAAGAAGAAGCCTCTTCATCGAGCAAAGGCAAAGCTCTCGCATGTAGCGAGAAAAAGAAGATGAAGGGCAAGAAAGTTGAGACAAGCTCAAGCTCAAGCTCCTCT